ACATTACAGCTGATACCTCATAAATACAAAGGATTGTAAGAAACTATAGTGAACAATTATGTGACAACAAATTGGATAATTTAGAAGAATGCATAAATTTCTAGAAATTACAAACTACCTAGACTGAATCATGAACAAATAGAAAATGTGAACAAATCAGTAATGAGTAAGGAGGTAGAATCAATAATCAAAAATCTCCGAATAAAGTACTGCCTAGGACCAAATTGTTTCATGGGTAAATTCTACCAAACAGTTGAAGAAGAATTAATGCTAATTGTTCTCACACTCAAACTCATCCCAGACACTTCCAAACTATTTTACATGGCCAACATTGCCCTAATACCAAAGCCAGACAAGGACACTATAAGAAAAGGTAACTGCAGGCCAAAATCCCTGATGAACAAAAAAACCCTCAACACAATACTAGCAAACTGGATTCAACAACATATTAAAAGGATCTTACACAGTGACCACATGGAAATTTTCCCTGGAATTCAAAGAAGGTTTAACATATGCAAATGAGTAAATATGATACACCACATTGAAGGGAATGAAGGATAAAAATCATATGATCATCCCAATAAATGCAGACAAAAAATTTAACAAAATTCAACATCCTTTCATGATGAAAACTCTCAACAAATTAGGTATAAGTGGAATGTACTTCAACATAATAAAGGCCATACCTGACAAGCCCACAGCGAACATCATACTCAAGGGTGAAAAACTGAAAACTTTTCATTAATGATCAGGAACAAGACAAGGATGTTCATTCTTACCACTTCTATTCAACAGTACTGGAAGTCCTAACCAGATCATTTAGGCAAGAAAAAGAAATAAAAGGCATCCAAATTGGAAAGGAAGAAGTAAAGTCATCTCTTCAGATGACTTAATATTATATATAGAAAATCTTAAAAGACTCCACAAAAAAAAAAAAACCTGTTAAACAAATTCAGTGAAATTGCAGGATACAAAATCAATATACAAAAATTAGTTGCCCTTTTATATAGTAACAATGAACTATCTGAAAAATTAAGAAAACAATCCCATTTATTTTATTTTTTAAAAGATTTTATTTATTTCTTTGACAGACAGCGAGAGAGGGAACACAAGCAGGGGGAGTGGGAGAGGGAGAAGCAGGCTTCCCTCTGAGCAGAGAGCCCGATGTGGGGCTCGATCCCAGGACCCCGGGATCATGACCTGAGCTGAAGGCAGACGCTTAACGACTAAGCCACCCAAGTGCCCTGAAAACAATCCCATTTAAAATAACATCTAAAATACTTAGAAATAAATTTAACCGAAGAGATGAAAGATCTATACACTGAAACCATAAGACATTGATGAAAGAAATTGAAGAAGACACAAGTAAATGGAAAGATATCATGTGTTCACAGATTGCAAGAATTGAGATTGGAAGAATTAATATTGTTAAAATGTCCATATTACCCAAAATGATCTATAGGAAAACCTGTCATTTGTGACAACACAGATAAATCTCGAAGACATTATGCTGTGAAATAAGGCAGACACAGAAAGACAAATACTGCATGATCTCAGTTATATGTGGAATCTAACAAAGTCGAACTTATAAAAACAGAAGAGGATGATGATTATCAGGGTTTAGGAGTTGGGGGAATTGGGGATATGTTGGTGAAAGGATACAAACTTTCAGTTATTAAATGAATAAGTTATAAAGACCTAAGTTACTGCATGTTCTCTATAATTGTAATAATGTATTATATACTTGAAATTTGCTAAGGGAATAAATCTTAAGTGTTTTCACCACAAAAAGTAACTATTTGAGGTGATGGGTATGTTAATTAGCTTGATTGTGGTGATCATTTCACAATGTATTTGTATATCAAAATGTCTTGTTTTACTCCGTAGAATCAGGTACTGCAAAATAGAATGGTATTCTTGTTCTCTTTTAGAAGGCCTGTATTTCTTTATGGAACAGATTTAAAATTACTTCAGAATTCCCTTCTCCTATTGATTCTCTTTCTTTTCCCTCATTTTCCAGTCTTGCAGAATGATATTTTTAAACTCCCACTTCCAACACTGGAGAAGAATATAATCTTGATTCTAAATAGTAATAAGCAGTGTTGGACCTACACAGCACAGTTTTTTCTAGTTGAAGAGTGTTTTATTCCATTTAGGTCCTAATGACTCCTGTTCTTCGTTGAAAAATGTGAAGCTTCTTGATGGGGAGGGTACAAGGGACTCATCTACCTTACACACACACCTCATTGTGTGCATGAGCAATCTGAATTTTCTTAGTTTAAAAAAAGTTACCCAGATTATTTCTATCAGATTTTTCCTAATAGTGTCTTACCCTTGAAAATTTGTTAGTGCCTCAAAAGTAAAAAAAAAAAAAATTGTACAAAAACACAGTGGCACTTCATTATCGTAGTGAAAAACCTGGAAATCAATTAAATATCTAGCATTAAGAAAATCATTGTATATTAACTTAATTGAATGTTAAATATTCCTTAAATTGACAACTGTGAAGACTCCATAGTAATATAGATTAATATTTACAAAATAAAGTCAAATGGAAAGAATGGAACATGAAACTCTAATATAAACTATGATTGCAACTATATACAAATACAAAAGGACAAGGTTAAAATGGAGTGTAAAAAATGAAAATAGCTGTATTAGCATGGTGAATTATGGATATTCTTTTTAAAAATTTTTTTTTAAATTTTATTTATTTGAGAGAGAGAGAGAGAGAAATAGCATGAGAGGGGAGAGGGTCAGAGGGAGAAGCAGGCTCCCCGCTGAGCTGGGAGCCCGATGCGGGACTCGATCCCAGGACTCCGGGATCATGACCCGAGCAAAGGCAGTCGCTTAACCAACTGAGCCACCCAGGCACCCTAAAAATTATTTTTTTTAATTAATTCTTTTTAATGTTCAATTAGTACATCATAAGTTTTTGTTGTAGTGTTCAGTGATTCATTAGTTATGTATTTAATAACTAAAATTGTTTTTTGAGTTTTCTAGGGTGGTTCACCACCCCTCAGACTTTCCATCCCACATGTGAAATTTCTTTTTAAAAAAATTTTATTGAGGTATAATTGACACAGTTAAGTGTACAATGTGATGATTTGACTAGGTATATGTATACATTATGAAAGAGTTCTAACCATTGATTAACATATTCATCACTTTTTTTAGTGAGAATATTTAAGTTCTATTCTCTTAGCAAAATTCAATTATACAACCTAGTATAGCTGTAGTCAGCTATAGTCACCATGTCATACGTTAGATCCTCAGACCTTTTTCATTTTTTTTTAAGATTTTATTTATTTGAAAGAGAGACACAGTGAGAGAGGGAACACAAGCAGGGGGAGTGGGAGAGGGAGAAGCAGGCTTCCCGCGGAGCAGGGAGCCCGATGCGGGGCTTGATCCCAGGACCCTAAGATCATGACCTGAGCCGAAGGCAGATGCTTAACAACTGAGCCACCCAGGCGCCCTGACCTTTTTCATTTTATAACTGAATGTTTGTACCCTTTTACCAACCTCTCCCCATTTCTCCTGCCCTCCAGTCCCTCCCAACCACTCTTCTCTCTGTTTCTAGAGTTTAACTTTTTTTTTTTTCCAGATTCTACATATAAGTGATGACATGAAAGATTTTATCTTTGTCTGGCTTATTTCACCTAGCATACTAGTCCTCCACGTTCATCCTTGTCACAAATGGCAGGATGCCCCCTCTTTTTTATGGCTGAATAATATTCCATTGTGTACATATACCATATTTTCTTTATCTCTTTATCAGTAAATGGACACTTAGGTTGTTTCCTATACCTTGGCTATTGTGAATATTGCTGCAGTGAACATGGGAGTAGAGATATCTCTTTCAAATAATGACATGGGATTGCTGGATCATATGGTAGTTCTAATTTTAATTTCTTGAGAAACCTCCATACTGTTTTCCATGATAACCCTACGTTTTACATTCCCACCAACAGCGTACAAGGTTTCCCTTTTCTCCACATCTTCACTAGCATTTGTTATCCCTTGTCTTTTTGATAATAGCAACTCTAATAGTTATGAGATGATATCTCATTGTGGTTTTGATTTGCATTTTCCAGATGATTAGTATTGTTGAGCACCTTTTCTTCTATCTGTTGGCTATTTGTATGTCTCCTTTTTTTAAAGATTTATTTATTTGAGAGAGAGAGCATGAGCAGGGGGAGGGGCAGATGGAGAGAGGAGAGAGAAAATCCTCAAGCAGACTCCCAGCTGAGCGTGGAGACTGACCTGGGCCTTGATCTCACAACCCTGAGATCATGACCTTGAGCCAAAATCAAGAGTCGAATGCTTGGGGAGCCTGGGTGGCTCAGTTGGTTAAGCATCTGCCTTTGGCTCAGGTCATGATCCCAGGGTCCTGGGATCGAGCCCCACATTGGGGTCCCTGCTCAGCAGAGAGCTTGCTTCTCCCTCTCCTGCCTTCCCTGATTGTGCTCTCTCTCTTTCTGTCAAATAAATAAATAAAATCTTAAAAAAAAAAAAAAAAGAAGAATCGAATGCTTAACCGACTGAGCCATCCAGGCACCCCTGTATGACTTTTTTGGAAAAATGTCTATTCAGGTCCTTTGCCCATTTTTAAATTTTTTTTTTGTTTTTTGTTTTTTGCTTTGCTATTGAGTTGTAGGAGTTCTTTGTATATTTTGGATATTAACCCTCTATTGAATATGTGGTCTTCAAATATTTTCTCCCATTCCCTAGGTTGCCTTTTAATTTTGTTGATGGTTTCTCTGAAATTTCTAATGTGGGGAAAGAAGAGAGAATATTGATTGCCACTTAATCTGTAACTTATACTGATCTAGACGGATCATAAAATGCACTTAGAACTCAACTAGAGAGGGTATTTTGTTTTGGTTGCCTAAAAAAGAAAACAATACAATTTCTTGGTTTTTTTCTAGAGGAGACTTAGAAAAATTAAGGTGAAATGTAGAGATATCTCTGTAATTTTATTATTTCTTTTCAACCTTTAGATACAAAGTTACGCTGATGCCCTAAACTGGTACTATTATTCTCTGAGATTTTATGCAGCTGATCAAACAGATCTGGACTTGGCCAAGCTGCGGAGGAACATGGCTTCCTGTTACCTGCATTTGAAACAACTTGATAAGGTCTTTTGATTTATCTGTTTTTCTTTTTCTTTTTTTTTTTTAAAGATTTTATTTATTTATTTGACAGAGAGAGACAGTGAGAGAGGGAACACAAGCGGGGGGCAGCGGGAGAGGGAGAAGCAGGCTTCCTGTGGAGCAAGGAGCCCGATGCGGGGCTCGATCCCAGGGCCCTGGGATCATGACCTGAGCCGAAGGCAGACGCTTAACGACTGAGCCACCCAGGCGCCCCTGATTTATCTATTTTTCAAAGGCAGGAGGTGTTACATGCAGTGGCAGAGAGGTAGATACAGTTTGGTGTGTCTTCTTGGCTACGAGGTTAAGATATCTGAGAGTTCTTTCATACAAGATAAACTCAAATTGATATTTTCCTGCTTTGTACACTGTAAACATGACTGATTGGGACTTCCCAGAAAGAGAGAACTTGAAAAACTATTAATTCCATTACTTACTGGGTTTTTTTGGCATCCTTTTCTGAAAAGTAATATATCATTGGAACTTCTGAACAAAGTTGTCTTGCTACTAACCATCTGCAATATTGTCTTTGAAGCCGACTAAATTTTAAGGTACACTTTTATTGGTCAAACATTTCAGTGTGGGAAAATACTCAGATAAAATGGTCATTCTTTTATGTACTGGGTTATCTGTTACCTATTCAACCACTTTAGAAAATGTTTAGCAACCGATTGTTTTTCAGAACAAAATTCTAGGAGGTGAATGAGATAAAAACCTATTTAAGGAAGGGACATTTCTTCCTTTGGGCATCATATAGTATGCACTTAAGTGGGGAAAGGTATTGGCTTGTGGAAGGACAAGTGTGGGCCCAGATAAAATATGAAGGCTTTTGTTGCTTTTCAGGTTTTAATGACAAGTTTAGGGGAAAATATGTGATTACTGATTGCAATTCCAGACATTTTCTTTGAGTTTTTGTTTACTTTGAAGGGTTGTTTGACTAAATACTTTAAATTTTCTTTGAAAAGAATATTTACCATTTAGTTTGTATTTTAAAAACTTATAGTTCTGGAAGAGATGTTGAAATGTTACTTAGTTCATGATAGTTCAGCATAGCCTAGCATTTAAGTGTTTCAGAAAGATAGTTGACACTACTATTGACTTAAAGACCTGAAAAAGAAGATTATCATACAGGTTTCATTACCTAATTCATTATATTTCTGCGTAGGATGCCATTAACTATTTCAGAAAGATAGTTGCTTACTTAAAGACATAAAGAAGGTGATCAGAAAGTTACTGTAACTTTCATGATTTATGTTGGCCTGATAGTTTGGGAAGGACTTGGAGTCAGACATGCCATTTGGATGAATACTTTTCAGGCCAAGGAAGGGTATCTCTTCTGCTATCTGTTCAGCTAATGCGGATAGAGTACAGCACAAGACACTGTGATAGTCTTTGAGGATACAGACGTGAATAAGACATAGTAGCCTTTAACTCAACCAAGCAGCTAGCCTCAGGGTATCCTAATGGGCAGATCTTTAAAGGTTTTATTTATTTGAGAGAGAGAGCGAGTGCACGCATGAACGGGGGGTGGGTGAGGGGCAGAGGGAGAGGGAGAAGCAGACTCTCCATTGAGCAGGGAGCCCAACGTGAGGCTCGATCCCAGGACCCAAGGATCATGACCTGAGCCAAAGACAGATGCTCAACTTACTGAGCCACCCAGACATCCCTAGAATATGAGGCTCTTTTTTAAGAGTGGAGGTCAGGCATAGGGGACCAGTCTAGGATGCAGTTACTAGAACTGAAGTGAGTAGATACAGTCTTTCAAGACTTGAAGCAGTGCCTTTTCCTTTTTTTTTTTTTTTAAAGTAGTCTCTACACCCAGTGTGGGGCTTGAACTCACGACACTGAGATTGAGTCACATGCTCCACCGATTGAGCCAGTCAGGCACCCTGAAACAGTGCTTCTTAAGTCTCCTCTGACTAATGTCAAGTTTGATCTTAGAGCCTAATATAGGAGTAAGCCTATAATTTTGAGTACAAATGGTATTAGTAGTAAGGAGGAGAAGAAGAGGAGAGCGGGAAACCAGGCATGTCCTAATAGTGTATACTCAGCATGTAATTATATCATTTAAGGCCAGACTGGTGATGAAGCCAAAAGTTATTCTCAGTATGTTCAAGGTAATCTTGTTGATTACTGTTAGTATATTTTTCTCTTCATCTTTTCTGTCTTGAACTTAGCAGACATTGATTTGGTACCCGCCATATGTAAGGAATACTCTCCTGTGCACTAAGACAGATAGAAAGGTGAAAAGAAATTACACAATCCATTATATTTTACTGTTTTACTATTCCCACCTTCCCTTGTTAATTTTCATTGTCTTTTTTTCACTCCTTTCCTTGAGCTATTTGAACGTTGTTCAGAAAAAATTTATGAAACCATGTTTACTGGATCTGCTAAAATTGCATGGTTTTTCAGCTAGGTACTCAATAAAACTGACTCTTACTAACTTTCTGTCATATTCCTCACAATGGTGATTCCAAAATTTTTTGTCCTTAAGCCACCATGCTTTACCCTTCCCTTTAGCAAAAAACTTTATCTTGTAATTTTCTGAACTTATAGCCACTCACATAAACTTCGTCAACTTTTCCTTTCTTTACACTTCCTTTCTTCTTCTTATCTCTTAGAAAGAACTTTTTCTGGGGACCTTCTCTACAAATCTCAACTTGAACTCTTGTTTTTTTTTTTAAAGATTTTATTTATTTATTTGACAGAGAGACAGCGAGAGAGGGAGCACAAGCAGGGGGGGGAGTGGGAGAGGGAGAAGCAGGCTTCCCGCGGAGCAGGGAGCCCAATGCGGGGCTCGATCCCAGGACCCCGGGATCATGACCTGAGCTGAAGGCAGACGCCTAACGACTGAGCCACCCAGGCGCCCTCAACTTGAACTCTTTAATATTTCTCTCTCAACTGTTTCTTTCCCCATCACTACAATTATTTTGACATCTTCTTTATTCAAAAACCCTTCTTCAGGCTTGTCATCCTGCTCAAATTACAGTTCTCTCTTGTCCTTCCTTTCACCAAACTTTTTAACCTAAAATTACTGCTGATATTTTTTTCACTGTGCATTTATTTAAAAAATATGTATTGACTGTTTACTATATGTTAAGTACTGTCCTAGGCATTGGAGTATAGTAATGAACAAAACAGACAAAAACACCTACACCCATGGAGTTTATCACTCTCCTAGGAGAGACAGAAAATAAAAAGATGAATATTATGGCATATTACAGAGGTCAGCAAAATTTCTGTGAAGAACCACATAGTAAATATTTTAGGTGTTTTACACCATACAGTGTCTGTTGCAGCTATTCAGCTCTGCTGTTGTTCCATGAAAACAGCCATAGACCATGTGTAAACAAATGGGCATGGCTGCATTCCAATGAAACTTCATTATTTAGGAACACTGAAATGTGAATTTCATATAATTTTCATGTGTCATAAAATATTATTCTTCTTTGGATTTTTTTTTCAACCTTTCAAAAATGTAAAAGCCTTCTTAGCTTGTGGACTATACAAAAATAGATGGTGGCCTAGAAGTGGCCCAAAGGCCATAGTTTGCTGGCCCTGTTACATTAGTGATAAGTGCTACGGAGAAAACTAAGGAGGAAAGGGTGGCATTAAATGTTTTAGAAGAGGAATAAAGGGTTGAAATTTTAGATAGGGTGGCCAAGGAAGGCCCCAGTGAGAAGGTGATTTTTGAGTAGAGACCTGAGGAAATGAGGGATCTGGCTATGTGGGTATCTGGGGAGGGGGGAATCCCACGGCATTCCAAATAGCAGGAATAGCAAGTGCAAAGGTAGTGGGGATAGGAGAATACCTGGGGTATTTGAAGAATAGCAAAGGGACGGGTGTGGCTTTAGCACAGGTAATATTAAGGAAAGTAGGAACTGTGATCAGGGAAATAGTGGGGAAACGGATCATGTAAGAAAGACATTGTAGTTCATTGTAAAGATTTGTCATTAATGCTAGGCGAGATGGGGAGCCATGCAGGGTTTTGGGCAGAGGAATGACATGATCTGACTTGCATTTTATTTTATTTTTTGAGTTTAAAAAATTTTTAAGATACAGAACACTTCACAAATTTGCATGTCATCCTTGTGCAGGGGCCATGCTAATCTTCTCTGTATTGTTCCAGTTTTAGTATATGTACTGCCAAATTGAGCACGATCTACCCTGCATTTTAATAAGATCAGTCTTACCACTGTATTGAATAGGCTAGGGCAGGTGCAAGGGTGGAGGCAAGGAGACCATTTAGGAGGCCACTGAAATAATCTAGGCAAGAGATGAGGTGGCATGGACTGGAGTGGAAGAATTGTGGATGGGGAGCAGATTCTAAATAGAGTATAAAAGTAAAGATGACAGAATTCCCTGACAATTCCCAACCAGATGTAGGATAGAAGAAAAAGAATAGACAAGGCTATCTAAGGTTTTTGGCCTCACTACCTATCCCCCTCTTGATGATTTTTGCATCTTTGATTCTATAAAGATCACTAGTGACCTTTTAATGATCAGGTCTAATGATCTTTTCTCAGTCCTTCTTATCCTCTGATCTCTCTAGCACAAAACAATGTAATACTGTCAACCACTTCATCCTTCTGGAAACTTTCTCTTTGGCTTCTATGACATCTCTTAATCCTATTTATTGCTCTAGCTATTCCTTCTCTGTTTCTGTTACTGGCTCTTTTCACCAAATAAATATTGGATGAGGGCAGGTATTATGTTTGTCTTCTTCACTATTTTATCCCTAACACCCATGACCATGCCTGGTACTTGGTAAGTTTTCAATAAACATTTGTTGAGTGAATTTATTATCTGGTCTCTTCTTTTTTTTTTTTTTCTTCTGTACACTCTACCCTCAGTAATCCATCTTAGCTTCAACTCTTCATTCCTAAATCTGTATGTCTAGCCCTGATCTCTCTCATAGCCCACATTCACTTTTCATCGTTGGGTGTACCCAGCAATCTGAGACTGAAATTTTAGATTCTTGGATT